GGCGGGGGGGGGCGGCGGCCGGGGGGAGGGCGACGGCGGCCGGCCTCCGAGCGTCTACAGGGCCATGAAGCTGATGATGAACTCCAGGAGCTTTTGACGGTTGCACTGAGGTAGGAACGTGCTGCCGAGTTCTAGAACCCTGTCGCGGTTCTCCTTGCAGACCTGGAACACCTGCGGGGAGACGTTGGGAGCCGTGAGTCACCGTGGCAAAAGCAAGAAGCGGCAATGCACATAGCGATACACATACACTACACCCGTCCTTTCATTGCTTTTATTGTTGTTTTATGTCAATAACCCCCCCCCCGACAATGCCTTTATCTGTTTTTTTCTCTCTCTTGGCGCCATCTTTGTTCAGGCATCATTCGGGGTCACACCATTTACTACCTGGACTGAGATGCCGGCTCAGAGATGACACATTCATGTAAATCCCGGTGTCTGTGGCACAGATCTGTCCTTGCTGCAGCCTCTCACCTTGTGACTGGATACCATGTTAGAATGTTACAGTCCGATCAATGGAGAAGGGAAGACTGAGGAAATGCTTCCGCCAACCTGCAGCAGGCTGATCACTGGGGGGAAGGGGAGACTGAGGAAATGCTTATTTCCTGCATGCGCAGACTGATCACTGGGGGAGGGGAGAATGATGAAATGCTTCTTTCCTGCCTGCAGTAAACTGATCACTGGGGGAGGAGGGACTGAGGAAATGCTTCCTCCTGCCTGCAGTAAACTGTTCACTGGGGGAGGAGAGACTGAGGAAATGCTTCCTCCTGCCTGCAGTAAACTGTTCACTGGGGGAGGAGAGACTGAGGAAATGCTTCCTCCTGCCTGCAGTAAACTGTTCACTGGGGGAGGAGAGACTGAGGAAATGCTTCCTCCTGCCTGCAGTAAACTGTTCACTGGGGGAGGAGGGACAGAGGAAATGCTTCCTCCGTGCCTGCAGCAGACTGATCACTGGGGGAGGGAAGACTGAGGAAATGCTTCCTCCGTGCCTGCAGCAGATTGATCACTTGGGGAGGGAAGACTGAGCAAATGCTTCCTCCTGCCTGCAGCAGACTGATGACCTCATCTCAGTCTAGGAAGTCACTGACTGCAGCTCATTAATGATAGAAGGTGGAGCACTTGTGATAAATGATAATTTCACTGGGTGATAACTTGATTTCTACCCTTTGTGGCTTCGGAAGAACAGATCTCAATGTCCGGAGCTCGGCTTGAACAAAGATCAGAAATAAAACAAAACAAGAGGAGAGATGCAGAAACGTGCCGCCCCGGGCCGTCTCGGCGTGACCGCGGCGTTCAAACCCCCCCGGCTCCGCTCACGCAGGGAGATTTCTCTTTCATTCTGCGTTACCCCGCTTTTTTTTTTCTTTTCTTGCGGTGAGCGCGCGGCACTCGGCTTGATGCACAGCAAAGCACCGGGGGAGGGGAAGCGTACGAGGGGCTCCCGCTCTTAGATGGGAAGACAGACGCGTCTCTTTTAAGGTTTAGAAAAGAAAAGACAAAAACAGCAGCAGGAGGAGCGATCCCGGGGCAACGCTGTTCAAAAGGAATTGGATTTACAAAGAACAGGCCGCAGGCCGACAATGGACGAGCTCGCCGGTGGCTGCAAATGGATGTCGGCTGGTAATTCTCTCATTGGAGGGAGACGGGGAATTCGTCTGAGAGCTGTTTGCATGCGAAATGGACACAAAAGATAAGAGAAGTACAAGAGCCCAACAAGACGGCAACCATTCCTCCACGGGGGATATAGAGGGGAAAAGGCAAATGGGGGGAGAGAGAGAGAGAGAGAGAGAGAAGGAAAGAAAGAGAGAAGGAAAGAAAAGAAAGAGAGAAGGAAAGAAAAGAAAGAGAGAAGGAAAGAAAAGAAAGAGAGAAGGAAAGAAAGAGAGAGAGAAGGAAAGAAAAGAGAGAGAAGGAAAGAAAGAGAGAAAGAAAGAAAAGAGAGAAAGAAAGAAAAGAGAGAAAGAAAGAAAGAAAGAGAAAGAAAGAAAAGAGAGAAGGAAAGAAAGAGAGAGAAGGAAAGAAAGAGAGAGAAGGAAAGAAAGAGAGAAAGAAAGAAAGAGAAAGAAAGAAAAGAGAGAAGAAAGGAAGGAAGGAAGGAAAGAAAGAAAGAAGGAAAGAAAGAAGGAAAGAAAGAAAGAAGGAAAGAAAGGAAAGAAAGAAAGAAAGAAAGAAGGAAGGAAAGAAAGAAGGAAGGAAAGAAGGAAGGAAGGAAAGAAAGAAGGAAAGAAAGTTACTTGCCTTGGCAGTGCTATTGGGAAATAAAAAACTCACCCCGAGGTCTACAAAGGTCTTCACAGCATTTCTTGCGAGACACAAGGTGGCGCTCTCCGCTGCGAGGGAGAAAACAAGGCAATGTATAAGGATAATGAGTATGCATAGAATCAGTTTCATCCAAAAGGTACAAAAACACCAAAATATGAATTTAATTTCTACAGTTTTTCTCAAATCTCTTTAAATCTGCATCTTTCATTAAAATAATCCCCGGTGATCCAGCCATAAAGGTCCTTGTTCAGACACTTCCTGTTATAGGGTGACAACACTCAGTCACTGTCTCCCAATTGTGCTCTATTATCGTCATTCCGATGGTGACTAGAAGTTTACACACACATTATGCAGACATGGTGCACTGTTACCATCAGGAAACCCGCCCCCTGAGGAATGCCGTGCAGGCGTCCCTGGAGTGTATGTGGACAGGAAGTGGATGCCAAGGGGCTACAAGAAATCAGCAGATTGCACTACGATAGTCCTATAGGTGTCTGTGTGACAGTGGGGGGAGGGACGGGATATTAGAGTGTAAGCTCCTCTGTACAGAGACTGATGTGACTGTGTGGGGGGGGATTAGAGTGTAAGCTCCTCTGTACAGAGACTGATGTGACTGTGGGGAGGGGACATTAGAGTGTAAGCTCCTCTGTACAGAGACGCATTTGTGTCTGGCTCAGGGCTCTGTACAGCACTGCGGTATATGTCAGAGCCATGTCAAGTATAAGCTCCTCCAGTTGCAGGGACTGATGCGAATGGCTGGATGTTATCTGTAAAGTGCTGCCAAGGAACTGTCAGTGCCGCATACTTCAGTAAAACAAGGAACATTGCCTCCTCGACTCGCAGGACCGCCGTCCACTCCAGAGACGAGTATAACAATTTTACAATGTCACTCAGCCAAGCCGACTAGCTGGAGGACTCCATCACTGTGCAGACAGACGCATAACAAGACATCTCCGAGCGGGCTCAGGGGAGCCGCGCACACACAGCCTTATATAAAACCTCACAGCGCGTTATCAGAACTACAACACTGCCATCTGCTGGACACTCCGGGCACCGCAATCACTTCCTCTCCATCCCAAAAATGTTTACGTCTCTGTAATCCTTTTAATGCATTAAAAACCAGCAAAGTGGCTACAGATTTTTATTTCTTTCTGCCGTGTTTAGCTATAACCACCCAAGTGATGGGCTATGTCTGCAGAGGCGGCGGGTGGTGGCGCCGGGTGGTGGCATCATAAAATCGTACATTTTCACAAAAGGAGTTGTAGATAGATTTTATAAATCTATGTTGTCTTATAAAAAAAAAATGTCAAAGTTGTTTAGAACTCTGCATTATACAAAAATGATTTGACATTCTCTATTAGAGCGGCCATAAATATCACTAAAGCAAATAGTTTTGTGCCAATATCTCATAAAGGGACAGAAGGGCAAGACAAGAGGGAGAGCGAGAGGCGGAGGAGGCAAGATAAAGGGAGAGGAAGAGAAGGCAAGGCAAAAGGGAGAGAAGGCAAGGCAAAAGGGGGAGAAGGCAAGGCAAAAGGGGGAGAAGGCAAGGCAAAAGGGGGAGAAGGCAAGGCAAAAGGGGGAGAAGGCAAGGCAAAAGGGGGAGAAGGCAAGGCAAAAGGGGGAGAAGGCAAGGCAAAAGGGGGAGAAGGCAAGGCAAAAGGGGGAGAAGGCAAGGCAAAAGGGGGAGAAGGCAAGGCAAAAGGGGGAGAAGGCAAGGCAAAAGGGGGAGAAGGCAAGGCAAAAGGGGGAGAAGGCAAGGCAAAAGGGGGAGAAGGCAAGGCAAAAGGGGGAGAAGGCAAGGCAAAAGGGGGAGAAGGCAAGGCAAAAGGGGGAGAAGGCAAGGCAAAAGGGGGAGAAGGCAAGGCAAAAGGGGGAGAAGGCAAGGCAAAAGGGGGAGAAGGCAAGGCAAAAGGGGGAGAAGGCAAGGCAAAAGGGGGAGAAGGCAAGGCAAAAGGGGGAGAAGGCAAGGCAAAAGGGGGAGAAGGCAAGGCAAAAGGGGGAGAAGGCAAGGCAAAAGGGGGAGAAGGCAAGGCAAAAGGGGGAGAAGGCAAGGCAAAAGGGGGAGAAGGCAAGGCAAAAGGGGGAGAAGGCAAGGCAAAAGGGGGAGAAGGCAAGGCAAAAGGGGGAGAAGGCAAGGCAAAAGGGGGAGAAGGCAAGGCAAAAGGGGGAGAAGGCAAGGCAAAAGGGGGAGAAGGCAAGGCAAAAGGGGGAGAAGGCAAGGCAAAAGGGGGAGAAGGCAAGGCAAAAGGGGGAGAAGGCAAGGCAAAAGGGGGAGAAGGCAAGGCAAAAGGGGGAGAAGGCAAGGCAAAAGGGGGAGAAGGCAAGGCAAAAGGGGGAGAAGGCAAGGCAAAAGGGGGAGAAGGCAAGGCAAAAGGGGGAGAAGGCAAGGCAAAAGGGGGAGAAGGCAAGGCAAAAGGGGGAGAAGGCAAGGCAAAAGGGGGAGAAGGCAAGGCAAAAGGGGGAGAAGGCAAGGCAAAAGGGGGAGAAGGCAAGGCAAAAGGGAGAGAAGGCAAAGCAAAGGGGAGAGAAGGCAAGGCAAAGGCAAATGGAAAGAGGGTAAAGCAAAGGTTAGGAAAAGTGGGGAGAGAAGAAAAACCAAAGGGAGGCAAAGCACAGGGAGGGCAGGCAAGGAAAAGCACAGGGAGTGATGGATAAGTAAGGGAGAGAGGGCATGGAAAAGGAAGAGGGATAGAAGGCAGAGCCAAAGTGGGGAAGGCAACGCAAAGGAAGAGAGGGACAGTCAGAGACAGGCAAACGGAGAGAGCGATCATCCTGAGGCTTCATAAGGGTTAAATGAAGTGATCGGTTTAGGAGCAAACATTGACCCTCGGGATGTAACAAGCAAATTCAAAGACGCCATTAAAAACTAAATATAAGACTCGGATAAAATAAAGCAACCAAAAGCATTTACAGCCAATTCTCCCGCAGCACTGACACAGCAAATCAATCGGAACACAGAAAGGCCGAGCGGCGCGATCAATTCAGGACAGAAAACTCTCGAAAGCATTATTTGGAGTTGAAATGCGTTTCAGAAAATCTGCACATTTTACGGCGTTCTGCGTCTCAGAGTCTGGAGGTTGTGGGAAAGTCAGAATTAACCTCGAGGACCCTTTGGGTTCTATTTAAAAAGTAGTGAATGTGACTTTCACCAAACATTCTCTGCTGGAGAATCGCTGTCCATTCTAACACATGCATCTGGAAGTTTCTCCTGCGGGGAATGTCTGCTGAATGTCAGATTTGCTGCCTTCTCACGGTGTGCATTAGAAGCTGCAGCAAGTCAGATAGAGCCCGCCTCCGTTCCTGGCTTTCTTCCCCTGCCTGGCTGTCCCTGGCCCCGCCCCCACCATCCATTGGATTTCAGTTCCGTCAATCACGGAGGCACAGCGTCACATGTGGGCACATCCACTCCTCCAGACTGACACCCATCAAGGCATTTTATTATTTGCATAGCTCCTCCCAGGGATTTTTGCAATGAAAGCTGCACAGATTTAAAAATATTATAAAACAATTGTTGAACAATATTGGAAATAACGACAATAACATATTAGAATGTGGAGATTTTGTGATTGGGTTCTTATGTCCTTTGAGGCCGGAGCTCCCCAAAATGTCAGAGAGGACTCACAGTACACGGCGACCCTTCGCTCCGTCCTGGCCAGAAGGTACTTCTGCAGGTTCTGGGTTAGCTCTCTCTCCGAGACACGGTCACTGATGCCGTAGATGTAGGAAGCGGCGGAGCTGTAGGCCTCCAGGATGGGACCCAGAAGCCTCTGCAGGAAGGACAGGAACTGCTGATGGTTCGGTGTTGGGCTGACCTGGAACAGGATAGGACAGTTAGCGAGCCTTACGGCCATGGTGGAGGTGCAGACGGGTTATTTATGAGTCATGTGACCGGAGCATCCCTAAGGCAGAAGTACATGAGTTTATTTGTACGTCATGTGCACCCCTGAGGCAGAAGACCCAATGCCTACATACATGAGCTTATTCATGAGTCATGTGACCAGAGTACCCCTGAGGCAGAAGACCCAATGCCTACATACATGAGCTTATTCATGAGTCATGTGACCAGAGTACCCCTGAGGCAGAAGACCCAATGCCTACATACATGAGCTTATTCATGAGTCATGTGACCAGAGTACCCCTGAGGCAGAAGACCCAATGCCTACATACATGAGCTTATTCATGAGTCATGTGACCAGAGTACCCCTGAGGCAGAAGACCCAATGCCTACATACATGAGCTTATTCATGAGTCATGTGACCAGAGTACCCCTGAGGCAGAAGACCCAATGCCTACATACATGAGCTTATTCATGAGTCATGTGACCAGAGTACCCCTGAGGCAGAAGACCCAATGCCTACATACATGAGCTTATTCATGAGTCATGTGACCAGAGTACCCCTGAGGCAGAAGACCCAATGCCTACATACATGAGCTTATTCATGAGTCATGTGACCAGAGTACCCCTGAGGCAGAAGACCCAATGCCTACATACATGAGCTTATTCATGAGTCATGTGACCAGAGTACCCCTGAGGCAGAAGACCCAATGCCTACATACATGAGCTTATTCATGAGTCATGTGACCAGAGTACCCCTGAGGCAGAAGACCCAATGCCTACATACATGAGCTTATTCATGAGTCATGTGACCAGAGTACCCCTGAGGCAGAAGACCCAATGCCTACATACATGAGCTTATTCATGAGTCATGTGACCAGAGTACCCCTGAGGCAGAAGACCCAATGCCTACATACATGAGCTTATTCATGAGTCATGTGACCAGAGTACCCCTGAGGCAGAAGACCCAATGCCTACATACATGAGCTTATTCATGAGTCATGTGACCAGAGTACCCCTGAGGCAGAAGACCCAATGCCTACATACATGAGCTTATTCATGAGTCATGTGACCAGAGTACCCCTGAGGCAGAAGACCCAATGCCTACATACATGAGCTTATTCATGAGTCATGTGACCAGAGTACCCCTGAGGCAGAAGACCCAATGCCTACATACATGAGCTTATTCATGAGTCATGTGACCAGAGTACCCCTGAGGCAGAAGACCCAATGCCTACATACATGAGCTTATTCATGAGTCATGTGACCAGAGTACCCCTGAGGCAGAAGACCCAATGCCTACATACATGAGCTTATTCATGAGTCATGTGACCAGAGTACCCCTGAGGCAGAAGACCCAATGCCTACATACATGAGCTTATTCATGAGTCATGTGACCAGAGTACCCCTGAGGCAGAAGACCCAATGCCTACATACATGAGCTTATTCATGAGTCATGTGACCAGAGTACCCCTGAGGCAGAAGACCCAATGCCTACATACATGAGCTTATTCATGAGTCATGTGACCAGAGTACCCCTGAGGCAGAAGACCCAATGCCTACATACATGAGCTTATTCATGAGTCATGTGACCAGAGTACCCCTGAGGCAGAAGACCCAATGCCTACATACATGAGCTTATTCATGAGTCATGTGACCAGAGTACCCCTGAGGCAGAAGACCCAATGCCTACATACATGAGCTTATTCATGAGTCATGTGACCAGAGTACCCCTGAGGCAGAAGACCCAATGCCTACATACATGAGCTTATTCATGAGTCATGTGACCAGAGTACCCCTGAGGCAGAAGACCCAATGCCTACATACATGAGCTTATTCATGAGTCATGTGACCAGAGTACCCCTGAGGCAGAAGACCCAATGCCTACATACATGAGCTTATTCATGAGTCATGTGACCAGAGTACCCCTGAGGCAGAAGACCCAATGCCTACATACATGAGCTTATTCATGAGTCATGTGACCAGAGTACCCCTGAGGCAGAAGACCCAATGCCTACATACATGAGCTTATTCATGAGTCATGTGACCAGAGTACCCCTGAGGCAGAAGACCCAATGCCTACATACATGAGCTTATTCATGAGTCATGTGACCAGAGTACCCCTGAGGCAGAAGACTCAATGCCTACACACATGAGCTTATTCATGAGTCATGTGACCAGAGCTTCCCTAAGGCAGAAGAACAGACACCTACATACATGATGCTAAAAATTATTTGGCAGTGGGCAGAAAGATGAAATGAGAAAAATCACTCTGGTATATAAAGGGGACAACCGCTAGACCTAAAGTGGCCTCACTGCACAAAGGAACCATTCTAAACAAGGGTTATATCAGCCATGTAAATATTAAATGGCCGGCCTGCCCTCGAGGGGACCAGTGTCCGCCCTCGAGGGGGCAGAGGGGACCAGTGTCCGCCCTCGAGGGGGCAGAGGGGACCAGCGTCCGCCCTCGAGGGGACCAGCGCCCGCCAGGCTGACAGGAAATGGGCAGAATGACTTTAAAGACCTGTTCCCACTTCGGTGCAGCACCGAAGTGGAAGCTGGGAACAGTGCAGGAGCATGAGGAAGGTACGTGGAATGTGGGAACCATTTCTTAATCAAAAAAAAGGCGGGTGTGAGGGACCAATGCAGGAGCAGGAGCATGAGGAAGGTACGTGGAATGTCGGAACCATTTCTTAATAATAAAAGGCGGGTGTGAGGGATCAATGCAAAAATAAATAAGGTGGAGTTCTACTTTAATGAATACAGCCCTGAGGGTTTGTACCTTCAGATATCGGTCTCTTTGCTCCTCTCCGAAGTCGCTGTCTTCATCTTCCTCATCACTCCTCCACTGCACACGATCCGGGATCTTGCTGCCCCATGTGGGCTCTGAAAGACCTGGACTGGCATCCTCCTGGTCATCCTGAGGAAACCAAAACGATGGAAAAAACTAAATTGCATCATACATTTAGTTTGTCATTACCGAAGGTAACAAAGTGAGACATGTGTTGCTTTTTTTTGGGGGTGGATTTAGGGGTGCTGGGTGTGTGTGTGTG